AATAAATTATGATCTCTTAATCAATGTGGAGACGTTACGACATTTGACTTTGTCAACACGAAATAGTCATTTCTCTAGCTTCTTTTCTTTTTGAACTTATTAGGCTTTTTCTTTTCTCTATCATTGTTGGCTTCGGTTATGTTTTACACATGATTTTATTCAAATGTTTGTGTTCTTGTTTTTCTTTCTATTTCTTGTGGGCTTTTAGACAGTTTGTGCAGATGTGTATTTTGATCATTTCCATTGTCTTTGTCCAAGTGCTCTATTATATTCTTTGTTACAAACATATATTATATGTCTCAATTATTACTTAACAACATTACTTAGAACTGTCTTGTTTCTTGGCCACAAATCTTCCCATACTCATCATCATGATCTCTTATTTCTTAATTCCAAGTTTCTGAATCTTGTGGAACAAAATGTTTTTTTACTTGTTTAACAAGAAACAAATAAGAAGTTGGTTTCAAAGATAGTTTAGAGTGATGTTGGAATATTAGATCCACGATTCATATTTCTGAACCAGATTCCCTTCTCTTACATTCCAAAACAAAACAGAGAAAAATAATAATTTATTCCAATATTTGCTTAAGAAAAAAAATGTGCCTCTATAAACAGTTGAACTAGTTTTCAAACTGAAGCATTCAGCTTTGTCCACTTCCGAAAAATTGTCATCAGCAAGAGAGATGAGGATTGACAAAATATCCCACTTATCATACCAATCCACAAACCCTGTTTTCACCAAAACAAATGAATCAAACCAAAAAAAAAAGGAAGACAAATTTTTGCTTTTCCAATTCAATAAGAGAGTGATGCATTTACCTTGGCATACATCTTCAACTTGAAACCAAAAATGGCTCCTATTGGCATTCCAATACAGTAGAATGTTCCCAAGTTTATAACCGTGACTAATCGCTGCCATCCACATCCTCTTGCAACTCCTGTAGAGATAACAAATAAAAAATGAGTTTTTCCGCGCTTGATAATTTGATAAAGAAAAAGATTTCTTGGATCTTTTACCTGACAGAACACCTTGGATAGAATCAAGAGTAATTGAGGCAGCAAGAAGAAACCTCAAGGATGCAAACTCTTCTTTGATCACAAGGCTATTGCTGAATAACCCAACCCACCCATCATGACCTACAAGTATAGCAATCACTACGCCGAGAGCAAGAACTAAAGACAACTTAACGGTTACAGAAGTCGCCTTCTTTGCGCCCTTTACGTTTCCTGCTCCAAGTTCATTTGACACACGCGTACTGCAACATTTGTTAGTTACATTTTCAGTTTTAACATTATTCGAAACAATACTATTATGAAAGAAACATACAGAGTTATGAAAAAATTGATGAGGTGACTAACCTTGCAGCTGCGCTAAGTCCGTATGTCAACATGTAGCTAATCGATTCCGTGTTGACGCTGATTTTGTTTAACACTTATAATGAGCTAATTGCTGATGTGCATTAATTTACAAAATAGTGATATAAAAATTTACCATATAGCTACCAAAGATGTGGTGATTTCCGGATTCGGCATTAGCCCTGCCAAGAAAACAAGGATCTCGAACGCCCAGTATTCCAAACTGTTGCAAAAACATAGTCTCTTAAGCTTCAACAATCATATGAAGTGTAGTAGTTGATAATGGTTATTGATCTGATGACTTACCATACCATAGCAGCTGAAGGGATGCTCAATGTCAAGTTTATTACGACATAACGGATTGATTCCAGTGAAAATCCAGTCCATGTTTCCTTAAACTTGTCTGACCACATAATATAAGCTCCAAGAGAAAGGAAAGCAATCCACAATGAAATAGATGTAGCTATTGGTGCACCAATGAATCCAAGGCCAGACACATAAACCAAAACATATGCCATACCGATATTAATCACCAAGGGAACAAATGAGAAGATGACTAGTGGAGTTACTATGGATTGTGTTTGGCAAAATCTTATAATGTTTTGTAAGAACCCGTAAGCGAGTAAACCGGGAGCTTGGTACTTCATATAGAGGGCAGCTTGTTTTGAGATGTTAGGATCTTGTCTGAGAAGTCCGAAAACCGATTCTGTGAAGAACCAGAAGATGGTGATAAGGAAGGTAAAGACTAATGAGACGATGCAAGATGATTGTAGATGAATCCCCAACATTCTATAGCTTTTTGCACCAAAACCTTGTCCACACAATGTCTCAAGTGCTCCACTTAACCCTGTCTAAAAAATTACATGACATTAATCTCTGTTATAAACAAATTAATGAGCATATATTCTTGAAATTAAAGAATATTAAAAAAAAGTTTAAACAAAACTCATCCACATATTCATTGTGGACGCCTTAAATAACAAGAAAACTGGACTAATACATTCCTTAAGATTATGCAATTATCAAAAACAAAGCAAAAAACTTCTAAACTCGAATAACCAATTCTAGAGACATGGAGAGAAACTTAGCATCCGAATTTGAGCTAGAAAAACAGAACATGTTGGATATAAAACTTGAGGAACAAAGAAGAATAGTACCATGAAGGCAAAACCGGTGACAGTGGCCCAAGAATTGGCGAGAGTGGCACCAGCGAGCTCAAGTTGGCCGAGATGGGAAGCGAACATAACAGATGTTAAAGGGATACAATAGTAGAAAAGATTTGTGAATATCATTGGAAGTGCGTAGATGGTTTGAGCCTTGGATTCTTCCACGTCGATCAGTTTTTTAAGCCAAGATGATCTTCCCCTTCCTCTATCATCTCTTCCAAGATCATCCAACAACGGAGAGCTCGGTGAAGCAGGATCAGCCATTGGATCTTCTTGATGAAGAACTTGGCTTAATTTGGTTGACGAGGAAGACTTGAGGATGGGAGAAGAGAGACAGAGTTAAGAGGAGAATTGTGATTTGTGGAGGTGAAGAATTAAATAAGGAAGGTATGTGGCAACACGTTAGTATTTAATTTTAACACAAGCCACTAGTTACGACCTCAAAGTCAGATGTCTCTCTCTCACACACACCCAATTATAGTTGCAAAATAAATACACTTCCGAGTGTTAAGTTTGTATTAACACAATCTCACTTGAAACATCTTCTTTACAAAAGTTTCATTTTAGCAAAAAGCTACAAAAAAATGTCCTTTTAACACATCAAATATTAAGGATTTAGCGATAATTATAATTTAATTTTAAATAATTGATAGAATGCCAATAAAAAATTAATGAAATTTATTAAGAAAATAAATTTTTATTTTAGCATCGAAGTGGTTTTGAATTTGGGACGAGAATCTCCAAAAACTCTCTTATGTTAATATTTACCACTACACTGCAATAAACTTTAAGAAAATAGGGCTCTAAAATTATATAATATTATCCGGAGTTCTAGGCAAATGTATTTTTTAATACATGGTAGGCACGGTTTTGACTGGATAGTATGAGAATGTGATAATCGAATAATGAAAAAAAAAAATTAAACACAGTAAAAATTTATGGAATAAAAATGAAACGCCAAAAACTAATTTTAGTAGATTAATAGATTTTTTT